AAATTTGAATACCTCACAAATTTTGTGGCCTGAACCTATTAATCATTCCAGAATTACGTCATTTGACAGGATGCTGAGGGGCAAACATTGTATCTTGTCCAGATTTGTCATATAAAACCAGAATTAGTGGGATCATTCTCCTCGGAATCCGAATTGGACCCCGAAAGAATTTCATAATTTTGTTTGGTGAAACTGTTATTATATTGTGGATGTGGCAGGGGCAATGCTAATCAAAGGTAACCTAACAGATAGTTTGTGTGCCCCTCAAGAAACCACGTGTTCTAGTGTAGAATTACGTTATCCGATGGAAATTCGAATAGAGTGAATTGGTTTCCCGTGTTCTCACAGTTGAGAACTGCACAATCTTGCATCTTTCTTCTAATTTTCTCAATTTGTCAAACCTTAATTTATGTCATGTACGTCCGTGTACTGTCAGTTCCCGCTTTTTCCATCAATTTATTTGTGGTTATGTCTGATTGTCAGTGCTTGTCATAGTGTTAATATATATAAAAGGTTGGACGATGGTCAATTTGTCTCAATTCGTTCAGACCGCAGTCAGACTATGGATGGGAATCTGGTCCACGTGGTCTGATTTGAAATGAGGCCAAGCATGAGCTAAATCGTTTAGTTCATTACTTTCGTCTTTTTCCGTCAGTCAGAATGACATGCAAATGCGTTTGAATAAACGTTTTCGCAGGAGAGATTTGATTTTCAGCACCAAAGAGAGTTAACGATTGACAATTCCACGACCTATATGAAACTATAGGCAACTGAATTTGAGATCGCAGCGCCAAAGTGGCCGGTTGTGGAAATATAATGAAAGTACAGTGTGTTCAGATTTCGATGCTTGTGCATGATATCTCAGTTATCTTTGGAGTTGAGGTTTTCGCGGCCCTGAGCCACTTTTTTGAGAAACTCAAGATGGCCTAATCAGATTTTGCATGACTGTTTCCGTTTATGAAATACAGGGCGATATTGAAAATTAATACTTTCTGAACCCCCTCTATATCTACGAAGTTTCTCAGCGAAAATGTCAAATTGATTTCTCGTCCCATAGAGAATTTCACGCAAAATCCAGTGGCGCCCTCATTTTTTTTTGTATTGTTCTTGAGTCCCTCATGGAACCTTTTTGCAAGCCCCAATGTGTATATTGAGTGATGTAGTTCGCTTAAGAGAGATGGCTAACAACCTTTTCAGGTACAGTCCATCAGCTCTCTTTCAGAGTTTTTCGGTTGTGTTTTTTAGGCTAGTAATGTACTCATCGCCGTATGCTGCAGTGGCATGCCTGCCAGCTACCTCTTTAAGTCACGTCGGTGCTCTCACTAAGCAGCATTGGCCCGCTCTCACGCGCAGTTGGTAGTTTTTCACTCCCACCTACATACACCGTCCTACTTCTCCTATGATGCTCACAACCACATCATCATCATGTCTTCCTGTGTTCTATGCAGGCTTTGTTATTAACTCCATGCGACAATTTAGAAGCAGCACTGTTAATTGGAACGCAACAGCGAATCGTGCAAGACTATCCCCAGCCGATGCTCGGAAACTTCACAATTCAATTAGTGAATTGAACATTAAGAATCTAACCTAACTCAGCCTAATATACAGTGTATAGAAATAAATACAAATATTTCAAACCCTAAATGATTTCGACGAATATTTTCTAAGAGCACCCATAGAAAAACTATTGTGATCAAATAAAATCCACTCAAAACTCTACACTGTAATTCTGACGTCACCTCTGTACAAATTTCTCGTTAATTAGAAGAATCAGCAAAAATCTGATATCATGGGGTTATCCGTTAGCTTATATTTTATTGATTTACTGAATATATGAATTCATTTCAAAAACACCTCGTATAGATAAGAAAATGGAATAAAATATCCTCAAATTTCTTTTCAATCCACTCCGTATACCTACTATCGATATCAGAATTAGTCATACTTGTTCGGGTATTAATCGGTGGAAAGGATGACGTAACTCATTAGTCATTTGAATGATGATTCAAACCAATCAGCAGTCTCGTTCTAGATTTCATCGTGAACGGTCGGTTCAAGTGATAATAAAAAAAGAACGCGAAGTACCTATTCAAGAGTGGAAAATTGGAATTCATATCCGGCTTAGTGATTTCATTCTAATTTGAGTGTGTGATAGTTGTATTTTTTCGAGATGGTAAGTGTTTTTGTATAATATATACAGGGTTACTCACGGTCGATGGTACGTTAGACGTTTATGGAGAACGGGACATAGGATCATTCTGAAATTTTGGTTACTCACGTAGTTGCTCTTGGCCTATGGATCTAAGATATTTTCAGCTCTGCGGCGTTGCCACTTCTATCGAAAAGTAGCAACAACTTTGTTATTTTAAATGGAACACCCTGTATTTTTTTGCATTTCCAGATTCTCTCTGAAGAGCTGATTTCATCGATCTAGCGGAAATGATTACAGAGATATAGGGTGTGAAAAATCGTCATTTTTCAACTTCAGGATTTTTTTTCGTCGAAACTATTCATTATTGGTCAGAACGGCTTACATGTCCCTATCTCAACTTTTGATTAACTATCTACTGATATTTAATTGGGACATATACCGGGTGATCAAGATTCTGAATTCTGCACGACCCTGTATTTGTTTCTCTAACCTCAATAGGAAGGTGATTGAAAAACTTGACAGCCCAGTAATTTGTGAGTCTATGATAGGGAATTGAAAGATCAGCTCCATTTCTTGTTGAGTAATGATGAATATCACAATTTGTCCTATTATGCAGTAAGTTTGGTAAAATATATATACAGGGAAGTGTCAAGATTTCCAATAAACTAAAAACATGGCGACAGTCATCTCTATATCGAAGCCCAGCTACTATTCTTATAGCTTTTCGTTGTGAAGCAAATAATCTATTGATGTCTGCATGACCCCAGATAATGTTTGCATAGCTAAGGTGTACATGAAAAGTAGCGTGATAGGCAGTCTTGAGTGAGGTGATATTTGCTGAATTTCGAAGAACAAATATCGAGCTATTAAGTTTCTTGGACATTATTTCTATATGATTTTGCCAGCTCAGTCTTGAATCTTAATGAATACCTAGAAATTTGACACTTTCCAGGTACTCATTTTCATTATTCCTACACAGAGTTAATAACAATTTGTTTGTTTTGTTTTCATTTGAAAAAAGGTCATTTGCAGTGAACCAAGATTTGGCATTTTGTAGCTCCTCATCACTCCTGGCTTTCACATCTGCAGAAAGTTTACCACGAAATGAAATAGTTGTATCATCAGCAAACAGAACGAATTTTTCTAGATAAGAGTCCACATCTGTAGTCTGAATCTAATTTCAGCTGAATGTCAGTAATACCATCCAGTGTTGCACATTCAGTGTCACAGGATTTCCGAAAGCCATATTGACTAGAGTCACTGGATGTTATTAGTTTGATAAGAGTTCGGACACAGAAATGACAACGGTTAGGGTTTTTGAATGTTTAGATTTATTAAGTTACACACCTTGCATTGTGACAAGAGCGCCATAGTCGTCCCGCGCTTTTTCATTCAAAATTGTTTGAATTTGACAATACATTTTATAAACGTCAGAATTGAAATAGAATTTCATAATCATTCGAGATAAAAGCACCTATGGAAATCACTTGCTGTGTAATAAATTGTGCCAATTCTGAAAAAAATGGATATCATTTATTCAATTTTCCGAAACAAATATGAACCATTCGCTTATGGAAGGAAAATATGAAATGGCCTGGGTGCAAAATCAATTTGAAAACGAGCGAAATTTGTGAGGTACTCATCAAAATTCACTTCTTATAACAGCATCTGATTAGAATGAAACTATATTTTAGGCCCATTTTCAAACAGAAGATTTCAAAATCTGTTTGAGAGAATCTGCTGTTCCATCAATTTACAAAGCAGACGATTTCGAGAACAAAATTCCATTATTATCATCATACAAAATACAAAACAAAATAATCATGGAAAAAGAGGAAATGATCGCAAAATTACATAATGAAATTGAGAATTTGAAAACGAAACTAAGAAAAGCAAGTAAACTACGAAGTGATATATTATTGAATGGTGTTTTGGGTGCCGACCAAATTTAAAATTTAACAGTGAAAAGTGAATAGTTATTTATGTATCAAGGAAATTATTATAAGGCCCTTAATTACGCTGGAGGTTATCGTTTTGGAGATATTTTCTAATTCGATCCATGTTCCTTAGCTCCTAGGGCGCTAAGTGAAGTTGCTGAGAACTTTACAAAACCAAGTATTTGGTAGGTCTCTTCAAAATAAAATACTTTTTTCCTATCAAATGTTTATCGAAAAATGATTTGTTCTCTGTATTTCAACACCCTTTTTCTCCGAAATGAAGCGTTTCCGGACACAAGCTTGTATAGACTTTATTTCTTATAATTGTCCCAGGAATACTTCACTCGAAAGTACTTATGTTACTTCCTGTATATTGAGAATACCTACCTTTGATTTGATATAAATAACTTCATGTTTTATATTTATATCACTGGAGTACAGTTTCACATACAATAAGGAATTATAGCTATAAGTTTATCCATATGTGTATATTTTCTAATATTAAATTGTTGTTACATGCATTCTTTTCATTTGTATAACAGTTGTTCTGCTAGAAGTGTATCACTATAAATTGAAGTGGGTATTTGTACCCTATACCCATTGTCCATCTCCGGCTATGATTGATTTGACAGAAAATATAACCTCTAAAATCGTATCTGACAATCAGGCGCTACTAGGGAAATTGAAAAGACAAAGAGCAGAATATATGTCTTATTCTTTTATTCACTTAAAACCATTGTATCATAGAAAATAGAAAAGGACAAAAGTTCAGCTGTGTCCGAACTCTTATCAAACTAATACCATCCAGTGACTCTAATATTGACCATCAAAGAGAAATTCAATTTTTATTAAATAATCAAATAAACTTTTATGCATAACTCTGTCGCTGAACGTAGCCCATTACACAGTACCTGCAAATCGCAGTCGGCCCTCTTCACGTCCCTGATCAGCTCCCGATGGTGGCAGCACTGGAACTCGGCGCTGCCCTCGTCGTACCACTTGGGCAGCAGGTTGCCGAACTGGTCGGCGGTGTAGATGCGCGGCGGCGGCGGCGCGTCTGCGTCTGCGCGGTCCGAGAACCCCGGCACGCCGGCCCGCGAGCCCGACGACTTCACCAGGATCGGCTTGGAGGGGTTGTTGGGGTCGAAGAGGGTCTTCGGTGGGCCGGGAGGTTTTCTTTGTTCCGGGTATCTGGTTGTAACACAGAATTATTTATTTAATGAACGGAATCACCTTTACAATAAAAATGTATTAGGGACAATAACATCACAGCATCGTTAAATGAAATTCAACAATGAAAAAATGGAACTTTTCGCAAGCACTACACACATTCTCGTCCTAGAGACTCGTGATTTTATCGATCGGTTTGTTTACATATTTTTTATATAAATATTATCGATAATATTTTAAGGTCTCGTAGTTATTGCTTTCGATAATTTCGAAATTCTACACGTAGAAAATGAAGGAATAAAGGTTGATAACTTTGAATCATTAAAATCAACAGCATTTTACATAACGATCAACCAGTGCCTATTTTCCGAAAATGAAGGTTTATGGAACCATTCCACAGGTAATTCTAATTCTTCAGGTTGGCAAAGTAGGATATAAAAGTTAGGCAAGCCAATGTAAGTTTAGTTTATTTTACTAGTATTTCACCTGAAGAACCTACTGTGTTAGTGAAACATGTCATGTGATTAAGAATTATGTGTAAATCTTATCGTTTGTGAAGTTTTTCGCATTTACTCTAGATTTCCATCAAGTATCGGCCGAGTCAATTCAAAAAATATCGAATAAAAGTATTCCACGAATTGATATGTGGAGATAAGGGATTTGAGAACAGCAGGCGGTAAAGTGCCACTAGTGCATAATAGTTATTTATCTACCAAGGAGGAAACACTATATATTATAGTCGAGCCTGTAAATTGATAGCCAAGGCCCACCCGAAGCTAGCAAGCTGGCGAGACAATAGACAGTTTTTCGCCGAGATGCGTATTGAATTTTTTCGTCGACCTCGAACACATATAATCAAACCATGGTCTTATTCTCACGTGCGATCTATCGAATTTCGTAAATAATTATTTTGAGATGAACAAATGGCAGTGCCGTAAAAGTTAGTGTCTGCGGATGAAAAGTACTTGCCTTGAAACATAGTCGATTTTTCATTCGGTAATGAGGAAGTTTCCATTATTGAGGTTCTTATCTCACTGTGAAGTTTGTGAAGTTTGTGAATTTTTTTCACATAGGTATTTTTTCTTTTTTTAGTAAAATCAAATTCCACTTCAGAAAAACATAAATGAAAAAGAAACTTGGCTCCTTCACCATTCCCATGACGTACTACGCAGAATAACCAAATTCACAGAGAGATGATAGTGATTTCCCACGAGAATGAAGTTTGCAATCATTCGAGTGGGAAATTAGCATTCCGTGCAAGTTATACACTATAATTTTTCCTTTCATTCCATGGGCGATGTGATTTTTTCGAAATAATAACACAATGGAGTCATTAGTTGCGTTTTATTTATCCGATTCCGCCACCGGAATCATCAAGATGTGTTGTTTTATTTGCAACTTTTCCTATTCCGGTTGCTACTTTTCATTCCGTCTCATTACAAGGAAAAAAGGGGAATGACAGTTGTCAAAAAATTAAATTAGATTGACGGAAAACGGAACTTTTTCAGAGTAGAAGACCTTTAGAAGACATTTTCATCATGAAGTTCACAAGTTTATGATTCTTTCAAGTAAGACAGGTTCATCCTTCATTCCCAGATGAAATAAATACTCTCGATTTCAGAGAGCTTTTTCCAATAATCACTACAATCAGTGCTCCAAATATGCGTAGATTTATTTCCTTGATTTCTAACTCAAGTATTATGATTATGAAATAGTTGGACCCCCAATATATAAATATAGGTAACCTTATTTATCAACTTTAATATGTCCATGTTCTCTGAAGTTTCTCGTTTTATTTGTAAACGTCATTCTGTTCCCACCACCGATACCAGAATGAAACAAATAAAACGCAACTATTGTGATAGATACGGAAATAAAATTGATGACATATAAAGTACCTCATTGATGTATCGAACAAAGTGATACAGGAGCAATATTGTGTTATAGCCGTAGAAAAAGTTTTTTAATCCTACTTCGCCTGACTACTTTTTATAAATCTCTCATTTGCTGGATGAAGTTGATTACTAATAAAGGTTCATCATGATATTTTGCAATAGTATCTTTAATTTTTCACTTTCATTATATTTCAATATGATAATCATAACTTGTCAGTCGTTATTATGCAAATAAATTCGTTCTATTATAAAACGGATGTTTTTTCTAGGAAAGTTACAGACTATATCCATGGTCCGACATATTAAATATCTGGGAATATTCATGGACTGTAATTTGAAATGGGATGTTCATATCAATTTTGTGATAAAGAAGTTACGTAGCACATTATCAAAATTCAAATATTTATCGAATGTTCTGAAAATTGACCAACTTCGAATACTGTATTATGCTTTGGTTGAACCTCATTTGAACTATGGCATTTCAGCTTGGGGAGCTGCTACAAATAACTATACAAAAAACCTCGAGAAAATTCAGAAATGGATCATCAAGATCATGTATAAAAAATCATATTCCTACCCTACTAATGAACTGTTTCGTGAAACAAAGTTATTTGACGCCCGACAACTATATTTCTTAACAGCCGTAGCTTGGCAACATACCCACAGAAATACATTAACACCAATAAACCATGATTATAACACACGACATAAAAATACTTCATCAGCTGTACCAAGACCTGTAAAAAACACTCTGCAAAGAAGTTATCTACTTAGGGCCAAAACTATACCGCTTAATTCCTCAAGAATATAAGCAATTCAATTCCAGTCAATTATTCAAATCGAAAATGAAACAATGGATTAGCCAACATCCACGACTCTTCATCCATCATCATTTAGATTTAAAAAATTCATACCATAATTTACAATGTTGAAAATAATATATAAAAACTAAAAATCATCTCAGAAGATGTTTTACTTGTATTTGCCTATATATATTGTAGAAGTAGTATAGTGATAGTATTTCCAGGTCATATCATATGTCAAGAGTCATGGTATAAGTAGACATATTTCACTACCCACAAGGTTTGCCTTTTGGTGATTTGTCTACTATGACCAATTCTCTGAATATAATATAAGAAATACTATTTCCGTAAATTATTCCATATACTTTCACCCTCATTATTTCAATTTCATAATCATTACCATTAATATGTAATATGTAATTACGTAAATTAGTTTAGATCTTATTATAATTATTATTCAATATCACTCCCACTACCAAGGTTGTCCTTGTTGGGATGTATGTCTTTATTTACCAATTTTCTCTTATTTTGCTTGTACTGGTGTACTTATAGGTAAATAAAATTATTATTATTATTATTATTATTATTATTATTATAACTTGCAACAGCGCATAATTCGCGATAGAAAATAACACGTCGCCCCACCTGACGGCAATAACTTGAACACTTCTGAGTGGTTTGTTTTGATGATATGACCAATAAGCACAAACAAAAAACAAATGTGAACCAATGAAACAAAAGTAAACGTGCCGCTTTGACAGCTTTCAAGAACTCCGATAGGTGGCGTACGCTCATTTTCTATTGCGAATACTTTGAGCCCGTCCACACCATACAAAATACTGACAGGCACACTGAGAGCTGATCTGATTTTGTGGTTATGTATGATTTTGTTTACCAATTTTACTTGTTATTCCTTAGATGTCTACAGTAAACATCAACAACGACGCCAAGTTGTCTTCTTCTTTTATTTTTTCATTTGTTTTTCATTATCAGCTAAATTCAGACTAGATTCAGAATGAACGTCACATATTTCCTTGGAAATTGCTTTATTCGAAAATAAAAACGACTTTGAATCAACACGTTGAATGTCACCGTGTACAAGAAAAATTGGTCCCTTAGGCCAACTATTTTTCACTTTTCTTTAAAGGAAAATAGCCATAAATAACTCATTGTGCTACTAGAGATGTTCGTCGAGCTAACAGAAGACGTTGTGTTATTTGTTATGTGAAGATCTCTGAACAATCTGGATGGAAAAATATTACTGCCGATCTTGTTTCTTTTTGTAGCGCATAATGTCAAAAATATATAAAATAACATTTTCGAATGCATACAATGATACCAATGCTGCTTCATACAACGAAATGTATCGGCGATGCATATGAGTCCACATTGTTCTCACGAAGCAATTAATGCCCAGTTATGGATGAAACAACGTTGGTCTCATCTGGCACTTAACGTGTTAAAAGGAGTTCCGAACTTTTTTCATGAAAATTCATATGAAGGAAACTTCCCCATTAGTACGTGAAATGTCATTTTTTGTAGAGGTCGACGAAAATAGTAGTGAGAAGTGATCCATCATGCAGGGTGTCCCAACGATTCTCACCTCGGATGATCTTCCACATTCAACTTGGGCGCCGCCCCGCCGGTTTTCTGCTGGGGCAGCACGAGCACGCCCGCCATCTTGGTGACGCCGTCCACGTTCTTGATCTCCTCGAAACTCTTCGTGACGGCATCGCGTTCCGCCCCCTTTTTCACCATCTCCTCGACATTTTTCGCTACGGCCTCGCGTTCCGGCACTTTCTTCACCATCTCGTCGCGCCAGTTGCCGACGGGCGGGTCCCGACTGCTGTCTCTGCTGATGTTGCGCGAGCTGTTGTGGTAGCGATCGTAGCTGTTGTCTAGAATATAATGCATTTTTTATGTTCTGGTTACTACGAAAAGAGATATCCTATAATGTTCAGAGAACATCGTGAGAACCAGTGCCGGATTTAGGGGGAGGGGCTATGGCCACCGACGGTGAATTTTAAGAAGCGGTAGGGAATAAGAAAAAAAAGCAAGCAGCAATATACTCATCGTCGACGAGGCGACAAGTATAATATTGCTTCTTGCCTTTTATATGTCGCCTCTTGACTCGTCGCCTTCTGAAGCAAACGCGCAATTAGTGACCGCCGGCAGTCGGCACCGCATCAAAAGGATTATAATAATAATAATAATAATAAGTTTATTTACGAATTCATATAAATAGTTTTACAGGTTTACATGGTATATATAATTTTTTATATTAATAATAACTTTTCACAATAATATTTCATCATACGATACAAAACCATAATATACAACATTAATAAATGTAAATAAACCAAGAAAATCACAGAAGCTGTGCAGACAGCTTGTACGTGAAAATTCTGACTATATCCATTTATAAATATGTTTATTTTGGGAGACTTTGTGATTCGTGAACATTATTCACAAGTTTATAGGTAACATACATATAATTAAGATCTATACTATTTAACTATGAGGTGAGTACAACAAAACTAGTAGGTATAAGTGTGTAAGATGATTTTGTATAATTATATTGATATATTGTATTATATTTATGATGATAATTAAATGGATGGAAGTAAGCAGATATACATTTTTATTTTTTTTTATTTTTTATTGTTTATTAAATCATGGAAGAAAATTCGAGGAATACTATGAATCCATCTTTTAATTTTTAGTTTGAATATACTGAATTTTCCGATGTTTCTTAGTTCAATAGGAACATGATTGAACACCTTTGGTCCCAGATAATCAAAACATCGTTGCCCGATAGTTTTTACGCATCTAGGTATACTAACATTGCACAATTTATTCCTAGTATTATATGTATGATCTACAGATCTCAACTGAATTTTTTTTTTGTGAATATTTTGGAGCATTGTTTGGCAGAATAATTCTCTGACGTCCATAATTTTGCTAATTTCGAATAGTTGCTCACTTGGAAAATGTATATTTTTCTTATAAATTATTCTCAGTATCCATTTTTGAATAGTATGCACACTCTCTAAGTGACAGTCATTTACTCCCCCCCAACCTAAAATACCATAATTTAGTTGTGACTGTATCAGAGAAAAGTACAGGGTTTTAAGATGGTTTATGTCCAGGAAACAACTGAGATATTTAAATTTAGATAAGAATCCTCTCAGCTTATTCACTATTGCTTTTGTTTGTAGATCCCATTTCAAATGTCTGTCAATTATTATTCCTAAGTATTTTATTGATTCCGATTCTGGAATTTTCGTTTCACCATCTACATTCAATATGCCAAGTTCAGGAAGTCCAGATCTATAAGAGGTGAAGGGTAAGTACTTAGTTTTACAAATGTTGAGTGTCAGCTTGTTCAGTTGAAACCAGGCTTTTATTCTTTGCAGATCTGATTCTGCGATTTGTTTCATGGATTCCCAACTGTCAGCTTTATATAAAATCGCTGTATCATCAGCAAAACTAATAACCTTACCCTTCGTCTCCATATGTAGCAGACTGTTGATGTAGACCGTGAAAAGTAGTGGGCCTAGCACAGTACCTTGTGGTACTCCATAGGTTACAGTTCTAGTCCCACTAATGATCCCATCGATAACAACTTTTTGTTCCCTATGTGTTAAATAACTTTTTATAAGGTTATAAGAGACGCCCCTAATTCCATAATTCTTCAACTTTTTCAGTAGTGTTTCATGGCACACAGTGTCAAATGCCTTTGAGAGATCCACGAAGACACAAAGTGTAGGAATTTTTTTGTCGAGTCCATCATATATATCAGATATTAATGTACATATTGCATCTCCAGTGGATCTTCCTTCTCTGAAACCGTATTGGCTATCCGATAATATTTTGTGTTTGCTAAAAAAATTTACAATTCTTTGTTTTAAGATTTTTTCTATGATTTTACTTATATTTGATGTCAACGTGACAGGTCTATAGTTACCGACATCTGTTTTTTCTCCATTTTTATAAAGTGGTTTAATGAGTCCTAGTTTTAGTTGTTCAGGGAAGTATCCTTGCTTGAAGCATTCGTTAGTTATATGGGTTAAAGGTTTAGCGAGTTCATCTGACAATTCTTTGAGAATCTCTGCTCTAATATTATCTAGTCCAGGAGATTTCCTATTTTTCAACGATTTTATAGTATTTTTAATTTCTTCTTCGCTTGTTGGAAATAAATACATGGTATTCTCAAGATTTGGTATATTATCTGAGAAGTTCTGAGGAGATTGAATCTTTTCTGCATAGTTTTTACCTGAATCACTGAAATAGTTATTGAATTCATTAACGATTTCTATTTTATCCACAGTTGTTTCATTATTAATTCTTTTAATTCTCTCAATTTTTGTTTCCGGTTTAACCTTTTTGCATATAGTATTAACGCACTTCCAGAGTTCTTTGGAGGTATTGCTGTTTGAGTCAATTAATTTATTGAAATACGATTTCTTAGACTTTTGAATGAGACGATTTAATCTATTTTTATACACTCTATATCTTTGTTCCCAATTTATGTTATCGGGTTGTTTTTTCATTGATATATATAATTTACTTTTTTCTTTTATAGATTCCATTATCGCGGGTGTAATCCATGGTTTTTTGTTCCTTTTTTTTGTTGGTATCTTAACTATTTTTGTGTTTTGTAAAATGTGGCCTTGTAATTTCTGGACAAATTTCTCAACCATACTATCGATGTCTTTATTGTTCATAACTTCGGTCCATCTTTCCATTTTCAAATCTTCCTTCAGTTTTTTATATTCTATGAAATTTTTATGTACTTCATTTTTATTAATTTCTTTCACCTGTATTGCGTTTGAATTATTTAATGTTAGAGCTATTGGGTAATGATCTGTTAAATCGTAATTAAAAATTAATGAATCGATTGAATTAGTGGTTTCAACAGTACTATTTACGAAGAAATGATCAATGCAAGTTTCACCCATAGGACGCGTATACTGATTTATACACGACATGAAACCATAGGTGTCTAATATATTTTTATATTCTTCTATATAATCCGATTCTTCTAAGAGATCGATATTGATATCTCCTGTTATTATATGTGTATCAGATTTAGGTCTATTCTGTAGATATTCCAATAATTTAAAATTGAATATGTATGGAGAACTATTTGGTGATCTATATAAAGCTGTTACATAGATATTTTTTAAGCCCATGATATGCAATTCGATGGCTCGTATTTCTCCTATATTTATAATTTTATGAGTATAATCAAGTTCACTTTTCACGTACATAATAGTTCCATCATTTTTGTTCAAAGCACCATTATTATAGATGAGATCATATCCCTCTATTTCGAAAATATTTGATTGGTGTATTCGATCATACAGGGAGTTTGTTTTTCGGAGGAATCGAAGATTGGGATACTGTTTTTGTGAAAATCATAACATACTTTTATTTGATGAAGATGAAAAAACCATATTCTACTCAGTAGGGGTAATTTCGTGATTCGTCTAACTTGTCTAATTCAATAACAAATAACAAAACCAGAATTCTGTAGTCAATAAGTTGTCGTTGGTAATGGTAAATATTCAAACTGGAATTGAAAAATATGAGTAAAATAGTAAGTGGTGCATTCTGGAAAGATGCAGAAGATGAATAAACAAATGAAGTTGGATGAGGTTGTCGAGAGAGGCACTAAAATACTTTCATTTTTTCCCAGTTCAAATGAGATAGAATGAGAACCGACAGAACCGTATCCGGGAACTTCACGTTCTGAAGAAAGGAGAAGGGAAATTTTACAGTTTTATATTTTTTACATTCGGTGAACGGGTACTTTGAATTTTGAATTATTCGGCGGCGGCGCGGCGGCATCGTAATAGTTAGCCCCCGGCGTAGGTGAGTATAAATCCGGCACTGGTGAGAACCAAGAGAAATAAGGTAGGAATTGGTGTTCTCCTTGAATTTCTGGAGGTTATATGCCTCGGGGAACACCTCCCTTGGGAATGTATTCCAGAGCCTCGCTGTTCGTTGGATGAACGAGTCTTTGGAAAGAGATGTTCTGCAGGTCTCCAAAGTGACCACGAAGGGGTGCGAAGCCTCAACTCGATGGGTTTATCTCGCGAGGACTGCCAAGGGAGGAACAATTGTTGATATTTCAGAAGAGCATCGTCCATGAAAATATCTATAAAATAAAGCCAGATCGCCAACTTTTCTACGGTATTCCAGAGAAGTGAGTGAGTTTGTGAGCGAGGCATCACCAACGAGACGAATTGCCCTTTTTTTGGACAGAATTCAACAGTTTCAGGGTATGTTTGGGTGCTGCACTCCAAATATGGGAACAGTATTCCAGGACAGGCCGGATATGTGCCTTATAGATCATAAGCAGCTGACTGGAAGTGAAATAGCTCCTGACTCGAAACAGAAAACCAAGTTTTTGGGATGCACTTTTAGCAATGGGCTTATATCACAAAAAAATTGTATTCCATAATTCGATAGAACTCACCCAAACTAGCTCACCACAGCAAACCGTTTATCGCTGTGAGCTCCCTACGTTTAATAAAAAATTATTGAAATCCCCGATTTTTCGGACCTCTGAAAACGAGGCGATGATGTGACGTCAAAACCCTAATACTGAAACAGGACTATTCCAGACAGAGATGAATGATACATGATTTCTGGCAGACTGAATTAGCGCGAGATCACAGTTGAAAGAATTAATATGTCAGTTGCCTCAGTCTCCGTCCGGCGTTTGGTATTTTCTTTTAACTATGGCGAGATGAGGTTTCTACGTCATAAGAGGGTCCATTTTCAGATGGTATTATCATTTATGTACAAAAATTGAACATTCCAGTAAATTTTTCGATCGAATTATGTCGTCAATCATTATTTATGTATGAAAGGATCATTATAAACATGGTTTCAGTTAAAAGTTCTACCAAGGTGTACACGCCCATTGATCTCACGTGATTTTCCAAGAAAGGTTATTGCTGATAGTGATACTAAACATTGAAATGGATGACTTCAAAGGTATGGTTACTCCTGACAAACTTATGTTGGCCACAGTGAGATCGGCTTTTCTAGAGAAAAGGCATGCTTATGTTTTGTTTGCATTGAAATCTACCAAGTTATTGGATCCCGATACGGAAACATCTCCGAAATTGGAATAGAGTATATTATGCAACGATGGAATAACATCTAAAACGTTGAGAGCTTTATCAAATATAATGAGCAAACCATTAGCGTACCTTATAAATATTATATTGTACTTGTACTTGTATTTGTATTTGTAATTATTGTTGACTAGTCCCTTATACCAGAATGTATTTCTAACTGCAAGTTATGTTTTCAATATGTAAATAATTTAATCAAATAAATAAATTTTAAAACCAGTTCATCAACTCTGGAATCGATACAACACGTGAAATAATTACCTCTTCCGTCTCGAGATTTCCTTCGATGGAAGTTATCATAAGGAACCTTGAACCCATCTCGACTTTCGGTGCTAGCAGTAGAGTTCTGGCGACTCCTTTGACCTCTTGTATTTTCTCTTGCATCGTTCCTAAAAATCGAAATGGGACGACAATAAGGATAACGATACATGTTTAAACACCCGTTTATTTATCTGGAGCAAATTGCCTAAATTAAAATCGTTTCCCGTTGAGTAGCGAAAAATATGTGGTTTTCATGGATACAAACTTAATCTAGTTCTTCTCATGATGTCACTGTGACACTGTCGCTATCACTGTTTGATTCTTCATCAGATAATGTCGTGTCATATGTTTAATTGTACAATCTCCTGTAAGGCCCTCCGCACACGGGTCGATCGGCGACATGGGCGACGCGATTGCAATGACGTCACAATTTCTGCATTCGTACGATTCAAGAGACGGGAGTGTGTGTCATCCGCATATGGGTCGACGTTTTGTGTAGTCGACTCGCGTCTGATCAACTTTACTCTATTTTTTGCAACTTCAAAAAGAAATGTTTCACTAAAAATGAGCAGTTCCAATGGCGAGGAGGACATATTCATGTTTTTGTGGCACCGGCAGATCAGGAGAAGAAGAAGACAACGAAGTTTATGGGTGCATCCGTACATTGCACGAAATATTCACACTCGACTTTTTGTTACTGCAAGTGAAATGCAAGAGAGTGACACAAAATGTCTGGCATTTCAAAGAATGTCGAAGGAATCATATATTGATTTAGTGGAAACTCTTGCTCCAGCCATAAATTATATGGATTCAAATATGAGGGAATGTGTCAGCGCAGAAGAACACATACTAATACTAATAACATTGATGAACGATTCATATATTTCAAAAAATCAAACAGTTCCTAAAGTTGAGAGTATAAATTGGAAACATAAGATTATATGTTCTAGTTACTGAAAGTAAAGAACTAAGGTAGGTAACACAAATATTCACAATGATTGAAATATTATTGAACAACTTTCTCCATTGAGACGCAAGATTCACTCGATCAAACTGCTTCCTTGCTAATCGCGTGAGACTGAAAACGAGGAGATATTAAATCGTACGTTTCTAGACGACCACTAAACGACCCGTGTGCGGGATCCAGATGCTTTGCTTAGGAAGTCGAGTAGAGGGGAGACCGTCGTACGATTCGAATCGCGTCGCCCATGTCGCCGATCGACCCGTGTGCGGAGGGCCTTACTCAAATACTAGTACGGGTGAATTTTACACCAACATTGTATTTTACCTTCGGCCACTATCGAAAATAGGCAAGAACACACCAAAAACATCCTCAGTAAATAGCTCATTACGCACGGTAAACAAATCGCAGTTTTCGTATATTCTGCAAGATATCATGATCGCGTAATTGCCGTCAACAGCGTTTGACACAGCAATTGTCAATAACAAAAAATATTTCAAATGAACTATTTCGAAAGACAATTACACTGTATATGACCGTAGGTAAAGTATAGTACGTAATGCGTGTTGTAAAGCAATAACGCACTCATGAAATTACACACTCGCCGCTTCACTTTTCCACTCGTGCGTAATATGCTTCTTACAACACAAATAACGTAATATACTATTAAATTTTATATGTATAATTCATATCCATAGAAAGTGACGATCAATTGTCAGAAGTTATGGATAAATTTACCCAGAGATGTATTCAAGACAATTCACCCTGAATATCCCAAAGAAAAAAAAAGACATGTATTGACATGAATTGGTTATTGAGTATGTCAAGCGGTGTGTGATCTAATGTAATACCGTCATAACGTAATGACTCACAGTCCTCTTCATTGAAATTCATATTCGTTCTTATTCGAGTTTATAATAAATTTAAGAATTGAATGATATTCATGAACAGCGAGAGGATGAGTTGAAATTGGATAAAGGCACATATAGGTATGTATTTCACCCGCAGTGACTTCGATGAGAATTTTTCCTTCTTGAACTGCTGTCACAAAAACAAAATATGTGATTTAATTTCAAGATATATTATGTCAATTGTTTCTGGGAATAATAAAGATTATGATAATAATAATTTAAACAGAAATTTCTAACTATTCACTAAAGTTCGTGAGTTAGAGTTAGGGAAATTCCTATAATGTTAGTGAAACATCGTGAACTAGAAGTAGAATAATTGTCACGAGACAAAATTAAATATTTTAGAAGACGAACTTAAATTAAAAATGTGTTTAATTTTCATGCTCGAAAAAATCTGGGGAGAAGATGTGATGTTAAAGATGAACTACTAAAAATAGAAGTATTTACAACAGTGCAACTATTTGATAACGTTGAAATTACCGAAGGCTGCCAACTTGACAGCAGTTTGGCAATTTCAAACTTCGGTCCAAGATGCCCACATATAGACCAGGAGATAGTGACAGGTAACGCTCCCCCATTTCACACTGCATGCCTCACTAAGGCTTTATAATTAACCCCAAAATATGAAAATTAAACGGGTTCCTGGCCGCCGCACGTGTGCACTTCATAAGGAAAAGCACTTTTTTTTTGTTTTTCCGCGATACTATATATACTACATGCCATTGTAATTATACGGAAGTTCAAACAAATTGAAGCGCTAATAATTGTTGGCATGCAATCCGCAGCAGCCGAAAGGGTCAAGAAAAACTGAAGAAAATTGAAGTGGACTTCAAATTCAGTAACAAGGACACTCTGGAAAAATTGGCATGCTCCTCTAGTCTGACCAACACATGAATATTTCGGGAGAACTCTGTAAAAATTTAATACAGGTTTTCCGTCATTCCGAACTGGAAATAAGTGTTTTTCGTAACTTTCGTGGTGCATGTCTCTATTTTGCAAAATGCTGGTGTGCATGCCAAATTACCAACTATTAATCACGAAAAATCTGGATTGACTTTTTATAGTTTTCCCGAAAATTTCCAACGTTGGTCAGACGAGGGGCGCATGCCAATTTTTCCAGAGTGTTTTTGTTACTTAAACTCCGATTCTTTACATCGGCATGCAATATCGCGAAAAAACACGAATATTAAACCTTAAAAAGGCATGCAGTGTGAAACGGGAGAATGTCACCTGTAACCAGCTCCTAATCTAATAATCGATTCATCGAATACCTCTTACTGTACTTTCCTGGAAAGTCTTGCATTTTCGGAGAATATGTGGTATTGACTGAATATCAACAATTTGTTTAAGTCAATCCATTGTTAAATCGTTGAAAATAATTCAGTTATATCAGCTGTAATTTTAAGTAACCATAACGCGAATCGAAAACTAAACACAACTTATTCTAACAGTTGTTTAGTTAGTCATTCACCAACTTGATCTAACCCTAAGACTTCCAGTCCAATTGAATGAAAAATGTAGAACATGCAATTTTATGATTCTCAATATTACAACAAAAAGACTAGGATAAATAGTTGCTACATAGTAACGACTGCACATTACCAAAAAGTACAAAAATTCGAATAAAAAAAAGTAAGAATTTTTCAGTAATAGACACTATGTTGGCATCTTATATTCGTCTTGTCTTCACTTTGAAACTAATGATGGATTTATGAAGCAGTTTTGAGTCTTAAGTTTTGAGTCGTAGGTTTTAAGTCGTAAGGGGAAAATTGTGATTCATGCAGCAATAATAATATAAGGACTGTCATATGCTCGAATAATATAAACATTTCACTAGCCAACGAACCTCTTTGACAGATGTCTGACAGAAAACTTGGTAGTCATAATGGATAATACCTTGAGGTACAACAAAAATGTATCACTCATTTTACGGAGGGCATACAGTAATCTCAAATTAAGAGACACCTGTTAAATCAAAAGAGTAAAATCAGTCTATCAGACACTCTGATTTTGTCTCATAATAATTATGCTGTCGCTGTCTATGGACCATCAATCACATCTGATGACAGTAGGGGTCTGCAAGTTCTCCAGAACTCCTGCATACGTCTGATACATGGTCTCAGATGGCGTGACCATATATCAGAATATATTAAAAATACAGGCTGGCTAACTATGTACAAATGAAGGATTTTACACTCCTGCACGCTTTTCCACAACGTTATCCATACCAGAGAGTCATCCTATCTTTATAACAAAATTACCTACCGCACTGATGTGCATAACTTGAACTAACGATATAGAGCCAAGCTCTGTTTACCCCAGCAAAGAACCACATCATACCAGTCCTCTTTCAGTTACATGATTGCTCGCTTGTACAATGGGATTCCCGATCTGGCAAAAATAAGTGGTTTAAAAATATTCAAAGAACTATTGAAAAGAAAACTTCTCTCAAATGATGGCTGTGTCAAGTAATTCGTTTGACCACAGTGGTGATGCCAGGATGGCCAATCGTTGACTCGACTCCCATCAAAAGTTAACGTGGTAACTTTGTGGGTAGGTTTGAAATGTGACCGATATTCCCAAACAGTTGATTGGTCAAACCGATGGTCAGACTTCATACTGAACGTATGTGCCCGGTCAAACCACAGACTTGACACAGCCGATATGAATTTGTAACTGTTTTCTATCACTGAGAATATTAGACCTACCTCGACAATAAGCAATCATTTGCATATGATAAGTAATTATATAATTATTAGTTTAGTTAGTTTAAGTTAGTTGACGAAAGTAGAACCCAATCATACGTTTATCTCTTTCACAGGTTGAGTGTAAGAGAGTGTACACCTGCTAAGTGTAATTCAAATTGCATGTACCGAGTTAACTAGATTGGTAACAAAATCTTTTATTATTATTATTATCATTATTATATCATAAGTAAAGCACCCCTATTGATTAGCCGTTTTGCTTATTGTCAGTTTTATACATGTTTGAGGTATATTGTTCTTTCTATTATTCAGCAGTTACAAATATCTGTTTCGGATTTGAGTTGATTGAAACCAATGTAAACAAACCAAAATCAAATGGTAGCCCTGGGCACATATGCAGAGCAAATTAGTCATAAGTTTTAAGTCGTAAGTCGTAAGAGATAAATGTTGGCCAGCTTTTCTTATGACTCGAAACTTATGACAGCTTATGACAATTGACTTGAAACTTATGACTTAAAACTGCTGCATGAATCCACCACAAATAAA